CTGACTAACTGTTTCTTTGACTAACTCTTTCTTTGACTAACTCTTTCCCTGACGAACTCTTTCTTTGCTAACTCTTTCTGTGACTAACTCTTTCCCTCACTAACTCTTTCTTTGACTAACTCTTTCCCTGACTAACTGTTTCTTTGCTAACTCTTTCTTTGCTGATTAACTCTTTCTTTGACTAACTCTTTCCCTCACTAACTCTTTCTTTGACTGACTCTTTCCCTCACTAACTCTTTCTTTGACTAACTCTTTCCCTCACTAACTCTTTCTTTGACTAACTCTTTCCCTGACTAACTCTTTCTTTGACTAACTCTTTCTTTGACGAACTCTTTCTTTGACTAACTTTTTCCCTGACTAACTGTTTCTTTGACTAACTCTTTCCCTGACTAACTCTTTCTTTGACTAACTCTTTCCCTGGCTAACTGTTCTTTGACTAACTCTTTCTTTGACTAACTCTTTCCCTGACTAACTGTTTCTTTGACTAACTCTTTGTTTGACTAACTCTTTCTTTGACTAACTCTTTCCCTCACTAACTCTTTCTTTGACTAACCCTTTCCCTGACTAACTGTTTCTTTGCTAACTCTTTCCCTCACTAACTCTTTCTTTGACTAACTCTTTCCCTGACTAACTGTTTCTTTGACTACCTCTTTGTTTGACTAACTCTTTCCCTCACTGACTCTTTCTTTGACTAACTCTTTCCCTGACATTCTAAAAGTCCGTAACACGGAAGTTTCTCCCCCTAAACTTCCTTTGATCACTAGAGATTTCGGTCACTTCTTCTGACAAGCCTTTGTATCTGAGAGCAATGTCATGGATCGTTTTGATTTGTGTTTGGGCATGCATGCGGATATCGGATCTTGAAGGACTGGATCCAAGGAGCCTGTCATTGAATAGTAGGGGTTTTCGTGGCTTCTTGACCAAAACGAAGACCACTGGTCCTGGGAAGAATGTGAAGGAGGTGCCTATTTTTATTTCGAGGCGTGTGTCAGTGACAGGCTTGGACTGGCTCAAGACTGGTTATGAAATTTGGCAGGAATTTGGATTGCCTCAGAGAGACTATTTTGTGTTTTGTTGCAAGAAGGATTTTTCTGCACCGTCACATCGGTACGCAAGCTCAGAGAAGATTGCAGTCCTGGTCAGACAGGTCTTTTCCATGTTGCAGCAGCCATTGAAAACCAGATTTCAACCCTGGAGGGAATATGAGGAATCCAAGCTTCTGCACGAGGATGGAGCCTTGTTTTGGTCAGGTCATTCAATGCGACATTTCCTACCTTCGATTGCAGCTGCAGTTGGAGTTTCGAAGGAACAACGGGATTTTGTAGGAAGATGGCATGTCAACCTTCACCAGAGTTCAGATTACATTCATACATCAAGACAGATTGTCATGGAAATCCAAGAGAAGGTCAACCGATCAATTTGCGAGGGTGGACCTGGTTATGATGAGAGCGAGGTCATTGAGGAGTATGGAGAATTCTTGAAAACAAGATCGGTAGATCCAATTGAATGGAAACGTAGACACCAATTCATGAAACGTTCAGATGACGGCCCTTGTTTAGGTGTGAAGTGGCCTGCCTTGTCGTCGGAGTTTCTGGATGAGGAGGACTACAATGAAGGCGCACAGATCGGCGAGGTGCCAGAGCCCAAAGATGTCGCAGTTGCAGACAGTTTTGAAGATCAAGATGAGAGTGCAACCTTTTTTGTTTCAGTTAGTAGGAGAGCTGGATTCAGGAGATTGCACAGGGTCAATGGCTGTGGAATCAAACCATGGGCCTGTCAGAAAGTTGAGTGGATCAAAGAGGTCCGTGAGGGTTGCGCGGACGCTGTTTGCAAGATTTGCAAGGTCACACTAGGAAAGGAAACCGAAATTGAGGGGCAGAGCTCATCGGGGTCCTCATCCTCGACTGAAGAGGGGAAAGAGGACCTGGAGGTAGATGACGGTGACGCGTTTGGATAGTAGGGTTCACTTGTGCAAATTCAGTTTCACGCAGATGCCTTGTCAGTGATCTCATTTGAGTTTGTTTCCTTGTCTTTTGTCAGGTTTGATTTGTTTGCAGTGCGAATATGAACAGCAGGATTCACAGGGATCTGGAATGTCATTTCAGCCGGGATCTTTTAGAGATTTCAATGTCTTGCAGTTTCACGGAATCAGATTGTGCACGTGAGTTTGAAAATCTTGTGTCGAATGTGAGCAGTGCGAATCTGACTTGACACAAAATCAGTTTGGAAGATGACATGTCTTGACAGGGACCGGCATTGGAATCTTGCTGTCAGTTGCGGGAAGTCGAATCCGATGGAACAATTCGGCTTGAGCTCAGAGGGGATGTTTGAATCTACTGTTGTTTGTGCTTGAGATTTCAGATTCAGACCTCTATTGATTTCAACAATGTTTTAAGGGGGCTTTTACGCCTTGGAGTTTTACCTCCGCATTACTCTGAGTTAATTGCCTTGACCTTTTACGGTTTCATCCTTTTACGGTTAAATGTTGAACAGGGTTGACACAGTGCAGACACTCCCGTAGCCGGCAAAGCCGATTTGCGCGTGGAGCTATGGCTGACGAAGCTGAGAGATCAGAATGGGTGCATAGAAACGTTGATGCAGATTTACAATTTATTTTTCAGGAGTCAGAAGTTCCTGAACAGGCACAGTATGATTTGGGACAGCACTACAAATCTGTTAGGAGGTTCAGTGCACTGGCAGATGATAGGGCTGGAGTCAGACAAGCGTTGCAGGCAGATTTCAATCTTCGTGCAGACTCGGCACAGGGCAGAGCAGCAGTGGCTTCTGTGGTTGCAGCATGGGATACTGCAAAACATGCACACGAGGAGGACATTAAGATACGTCAAGAAGCCAAAGGACTTGGGACGGTGAGACCTCTCCCACACACAGATCGTTCAGCGATGTTGAGGGCAGTTGAAACAGCAAGGGGAGAAGAAATCTCCGAGAAGGATCAACCTTCAACTGACTACGTGGCGATGCTCTTGGAAGAAATAGAACAAGACGAAGTTACAGCTCACCCACTGGATGAAATTGTGAGCAGAAGGGATTCTCAATCGCTTCAGTTGCAGTCATCACTAGACCAATCAGGTCGGGTGCGAATTACAAGGCAGAGACCAAAAGGTAAATTACCAGCAAATACAGAAGAGCTGCGGCAGAAGCTGCGTGTCGAGGGGAATGCGTGGCTGATGGTGGCGGCCAAACTTCGCAACAAGGTTTATTTGCGTGGATTACAGCAGCGACACTTTGACAGGTATGTGGACTACCTGCTTGGCGAGAAATGCTATGGCATGATGATCCCCGGTCCTGGGGGTGAAAAGGTGCCTTTGTCCCCTCCATGGCACATCATGCTTGACTATGAGTTCGAATTGAGAAAGAAGGCAGTGAGACGGGCACACCGCAATGGGAGGCCCCTGCATGAGACCTTGCAGGAAGTGACAGAGGACACAGAGATCAAAGAGCTCTACTTCACCTCACCGGTGACCTTCTCGGCCATGCAGAGGCCATCCAAGTTCAGCCGCGTTGAGGAGCCGCAGACGCGTTTTGGAGAAGGAGGAAAATCAAAAGGGAAAGGTAAGAAAGGAAAATCTGGTTCAGATGGAAAAGGAAAGTCCAAGAAGGGCTCCGTGTTGCCGGGGACAAACCTAAGTTTGGTGACACACACACACACACCAGATGGCAAGGAAATATGTTACAGATTCAACATGCGAGGAAAAGCTTGCGATGGGACCTGCAACAGGGTCCATGTGTGCCGTGTTCGAAATTGCAATGCAGCTCACCCGGCATATGAGCACCCAAAGACGGGTGGTGCTTCCTGACCATCGGACAGTTTGGAAGGGTTTCACAACATGCAGCAGGGCGCATTTTGCGCCATCAGGCGGCGCAGCAAGCGGTGTCTTGAGGATTATCTATGTTTTTGCTGGGCATCGCTGAAGAGCTGATGTTCATGAACACCTTCAGGCACTTGCAGGCGAATTTGGTTTCACATTAGAGATGCATGAGTTTGATTTACTGCGGGATGAGAAGCAAAATTTGTTGGACGAAAATTTTTGGGAAGAACTGAAAACCTTGATACGCAACGTGCGTCCCTTCTGTGTCATTGCTACTCCGCCTTGCTCGACTTATAGCAGGGCGAGAAACCACTATAGTGCAAAACCTGGCCCTCGCCCAATTCGAAGCAGGGAGCATCCGAGAGGTTTCCCATGGCTTGCACAGAAAGACAAAATCAAGGCTGATGAGGGCACCCTTTTGGCCGAGCGCACCTGGGAAATCTTCAATCTGGCCTCAGACGTTGGCGCTTTTTATTTGGGCGAGTTCCCGGAAGACTTGGGGGCCACGAAAAATGGCATTCCTGCATCCATTTGGCAGATGCAGCAGGTTCAAGACCTTTTAGTGCTACCTGGTTGCAGCACTTTGAGGGCTGTCACGAAGTGAGAGCACTATCTTTGTAAGAACAGCGCAAAATTTTTAACAACAAATTTTGCAACTCAGGACAAAACAATTTTTGTAAGGGTCACATCTTGCGCAGCATGGATTTTTTGAACAACAATTTTTAAATGGACAACTCACAGAACCAAAACAAAACAACACAACCTTCCCTTGGTCTCAATCATCATTTCTCATTCGTGTTGCATTTTGTATCAAGGGTGAGGTAGAGGAGGGTTTAAAAAACCTTTCTTCCACAACCAACTTTTCTTTCGGCGTTAGGGGGTCAATGGACACGAGACAGATCGCTGCCCTTACAAATCATCACATCATCTCGCTGTCGTTTTTGATCCTTAGCGAAGTTGCACGTCGATTGGGTGTTCCCATTGTTCTCACTCCTGGATCTGACCAGACCTCAGACCCAGAGGCAGGTCAAGCAGAGGTTGACCACTCGGCTGCAAGTGGTACTGGACCTGTTTGCAGCTACGGCTGCGCTGTGCCGGGGTGCCATCAGTGGTGTCGTCACAATCACACACCTCATTGTAGGCATCGCTGCTTGGATCACAGTTGGGAATAGGATGGTTGTGGAACACAGAGGTTTTCGAAGTAGATGGAGTAGCAGTGCCGCTGCCGTGTCTGCCAGTGATTTGCAAGACGTTGACAGCGTGGGCCCTACGACAGATATTGATTGCAGTTGGGAACATGTTGAATTTCCTGACACTGAAAACTTGTTTGGCAATTTTGATAACAATGACGCTTTGGATTCATCGCTGGAAGCTTTGCACAGTCATGATGTTTTGCCTTTACAGGAGCCACGTTTCATGCACCCGAAACCTAAGTCTGTTGCAACCAAACCTGCATCTTTGTCGGCTGAGAGCTTAGCAGTCAAGCGCACTGCAGATGAGTTGGCATCAAGACATGTCCACAAGTTGACATCAGACTTGAAACAGCCTTGGCAGAAGGGACCTTTAGCATGTTTATTTTCGAGGCCAAAACCCTTTTGGGACCGTTTGCAGTCATTTCAACGGGTGCCGTTAGTTGGACTTGCTGACCACATCACTGCAAGCTCGACAGACAGTGCGGTGCCCATGCAGATTCAACACACCGAACTTACAGTGCAGCGCATCAAGTCATCACGTTTGGTATCATCAACAGACAATTATCGACATGTTGCACTTGCCAGGTTTAAAACGATGGTTCTTTTAGACCTTGACTGCGCTCGTCTTGGACAATCCCTGAGGAGCTTTGCAGGCACCCTGTGCTCAGATTCAGAACTGTCTCAAGTCTTCATGGATGTTTTCTCACCAAAGGCCACAGGTACGATTCTGAAGAGGTGCAATGCGTTGTGGCGTTTTTCATGCTGGCTTCAGACACGTGGAGGCGGTTCACCATTTAAACAAGATGAGAGGGTTATCTACTCTTACGTCTGTTATTTGAGGGACTCGGGCGCAGGCCCTACAACACCATCACAGTTTGTGGAAGCCTTGAGATTTTCAGACACCTTGATTGGGTTCACATCCTCATCACTGACAGACATGCTCAGCCCAAGGGTGACAGGAGCTGCACATGCTTGCTACATGACCAAGAGGTTCCGGAAACCTGCAGAAGTGCTGAAGGTCGACGAGATAGCTGCACTGGAGGACATGCTTGAATGACCCGGATTTGCATCGTCGACTGATTGCTGGGCATTTGATCTTTTGCTTCACTGCCGCGGCAAGATGGCACGATTCAATGTATGTCATTTCAATAGAGATATCAACAGCCGGACCTGTCACCCTTCTTGAGGCAATGACTTCCAAGCACAAGTCGTCACGTGGAAAGGAGCAACAAATGGAGCTTCTGCCATTTACTGCGCTGGGCCATGTTACAGCTGAGGAATCATGGGGCGACAGCTGGATGAAGTCACGAGATGCTGCTGATGTGGGGTCCTGGAATTATTTCCTGAACTCCTGGTCTGAGAGCGAACAAACTTGGATAGAGTCCCGCATGTCCACAGCAGAGGCAACTGGATGGCTTCGTGAATTGTTGGAGCCCCGTGTTGGAAGTGACAGAGCCTCATCCCTGACAGTGCATGGATTGAAAGCCACCTTGTTGAGCTGGGCGGCCAAAAGTACCCTTTTTACGGCAGATGAACAGTTGGCATTGGGGCATCATGTCAATGCCCAATACAGGTCAGCGATGATCTACTCACGGGACAACCAGATTGGGTTGTGCAAAAAGGTTCACACGATGTTCATGCGCATCAGGGATGGCACATTTGACCCCGATGCAACCAGGGTCAGCCGCTTGTTTCAGCTGGCCTTTGACACGGCTCTTGAAAGAGATGGTGGAAGCAGCGACAGCAGTTCCATTGAGTCAGATGACGCATCCTCAGTGGCTTCGTCAAATGGGGAGCACTCCAGCTTGGAGCAAAAGACCACGTACAGGCGCTTGGAGGCTGACGACATTGAGGCAGACCAATGCTTGATCAACAAGAGCTCGAAGGTGATTCACCTACTGGCTGGAGAGGACGAGAAATTCTGGTGCGGCAGGAGCCCTTCGGCCTCTTTCAGCAGAGCCTCAAAAGTTGAGATATCAACTCCAGAGGCGGTCGTATGTGCAAGCTGCTCCCATGCTTACCGGGCTGCAAGGAGAGATCTTTGAGATCGCCGTTGATTGCTGCCCATGCCGACGTGATTACATGCTGGCGCTTGAGATGCAATCGATCTGAGAGCGCACACTGCCGAAGTGTAAAATGTTTGTGCCTTAGCCGTGGGTCAGTGAGTAAGTTTGATTAACATTAACATGCTTTTAAGATGCTCATCCAAGCTTTTTATTCTGATTGGAGTTTGCATCATGTTGACAGCCATGGAAATCACGCAAGTCTGGATAGCAGAAACCACTTGGAACCCAATGCCTAGCATGCTCTCGTGCGGCAGAGGAATCATAACCAAGTGTCAAAAGCTTATTCAACTTCGTGGTGCATCCATTGGCTCATCAGCAACACGCTTCAAAAGCAGCATTGACGATACCTTGTGAAGCCTCACAATTCACACCCACTTGACAAACATCGTTTCAAACTTTTTCTTAAAGCTTTTGGAATGGAAGTAATCGACTGGGAGTCCCTCAAGTTGACCTTTGTTTCCTTGAACATCTTGCCGTTTGTTGCCGCACATGGCCATAGATTCGAAAGTTGCGTTTCAGAACCGAGCGTTGGAGCTGGGAATTGATCAGACGGAAGTTGATGCGCTTGAGCTTGCAGGTATCAATAGTTATGCAACATATGCATACTGCAGCACTTACCAACCTGGTCAGAATGATGACACTGCACTGATAACATTTTTGACCTCTACGTTTGGGAATGCACCATCAGCAGCTTCAACAACTCGTTTCAGGCGACTGTTTTTCGAGGCACATGCACTGTGTTTGGAGGACCTCAAATCCAGGGCAGACAATTCGGAGTCAAGCGAGGCAAGGATCATTCCACTTGCTGAAAAGATGGATTGAATACGTTTGCAGAAACAACGTTTGACAGGACTGAGTTTCACACCCCAGAGCGAGCCTTCTCACTCCCTAATAGATAGAGTTTGTCAACAGTTGGAGGACAATGTAATCACGTACATTGAGCTCAGTCGATGTTCGTCAAGGCATGACGAGGCTTTGCACTCCAAGGTTGACACTTCTTTGGCGCTTGATAATGCTGGGGGTCTGCGACTCAGCAAGAAGCAACGCCTTGAGGATGTGAATGTAACAGGTGAACACAAACTGCGACAAGCGTTTCTGAGAAGGTCACTGGCTTATGACTTAGCTGGCATAGCCACCTTTGCTGTGCTTGACTTGTGGACGCAGAAAAATTTTTTCGAAAAGATGAATGAAGCCCCGCTCTCAAACTACAGGCACATCAGTGTTGAGCAGGTGATTAATGCTGACAAGGCTTTGTGGGTCAAAGTATCTAATGAAACTCGTGGTCGACTGCAACCGAAGACCGGAGCAGATAAGCCTTTTGATGTTTCCTTCGAAAAATTCGCAGAGCATCCGGAAGTCTTGCAGCACTTGACGCCACTGCAGAGTGTAGGGGCTCACAAACAGGACACGTCATCGACGTTCTCTGGTGGAAAGGGCAAAGGTGGAAATCACGGTGATGGAAAAGGAAAATCCTCAAAGGGCAAGGGCAAGGCCAACACTGGCATTGCTGTCCCAGATGATTGTGAGATTTTTGTGGATGGAAAGCAGCTTTGCAAACGATGGCAGGTCGGACGTTGCACTGCAAAGATCAAACCTGGAAAACGTTGCATGGTTGGGTACCACATGTGCTGGAAGAAGTCATGTCACAAACTTCACCCGGGCAATGAATGCCCACACTGACTTGGTAAGGTGCCTAACAATAGCAGTTTCACTTTGGAGGCCGTAACGTTCGAAATCTGTTGCGGCTCAGCAGGATTGTCCGACGCATTAAGGCGTCTGGGATTCCATGTTTACCCGGTGGACCATTCAGCAAATAGGCATTTACCTAAGGTCAAAGTCTTTGTTCTGGATGTGTCGAATTCAGACCAATTGGTGCTGCTTGAAGCAATGCTACATCACTGCAAGCCGTGTCACGTCCACTTGGGCCTTCCTTGTGGAACATGCTCCCGAGCCAGAGAGAAACCTATGCCGTCCAAACTTGGAGGTCACATGGGACCGCAACCCTTGCGCAGCGTTGAGCATCTTAGAGGCTTTCCTCATCTAACAGGAGCTGACAAAACTAAGGTTGATCTTGCAAACAAGTTGTACAACTCAGCCATTAGAATTTTGCACATTTGCATGGTGCTGGGATGCTTAGTTTCAATTGAAAACCCGGCGCGGTCTTGGCTTTGGGCGCTTCTTGCAGTTTTGGTAAAAGATACCAATGACCAGCTATTCATTTCATGGTTTGCAAGTTTGGAAAGCATCTATTTTGATGCATGCGCGCATGGTAGCATGAGAGACAAAAGGACCAAATTGCTGGCGACTCAGGGTGTCTTCACATCATTGGCGGAAGACTGCCCCCAGAATCATGTGCATGCATCATGGCAACCTTACAAGAGCGATCAGGGTGTCATATTCCCTACAGCAGCAGAGGCAGAATATCCAAGCACCTTATGCAAGCGCATGGCCGATTGCGTGCTTGAGGCATCAGCTCAACTGGGTGTCTGGCTGACACCATCGCTGAGGCTCAAAGATCTTCTACGCTTGGGCTTAGGTCAACAAAGCATTAGACACCCCCCGCTGGTGCCTGAGTACAAGGAATTTTTACACCTCAATGACATTTCCAATAATCCAGCCCAGAAACTACTTGCTGCTCCACCAAATCATGGGGAAACGAACGCTGAGCAGCAGCAGGATCTCGAATCAGGGCCTGTCAAAAGGCCCAGAACCACTTTCAAGTATGGAGTTTGGCATGAGCCGGAAGAGTTCCTGAAGAAAGCTCAGGAGGCAAAGCACCCTATCGACCAAGATTCTTTTCTGCACCAAATCACAAAGGACGCCATCGTACAGGTGGTTGGAGCTTGCCCGACAAAGCTGGCCAAAGAGCGTTTGGCAACCGTTTTTCATGTGAAGAAGTTGTCCATAGACCTCAAGCTGCAAGAGAAGGAACTCAAAGCGAGCTTGCATCCAGACGTTAGCCGATGTGTCAGTAGCAAAAACATACTGCTTTTCGAGAAGCTTCTACTGCAAACGGACTACTGGGACATGGACGTTGTAAACCTTTTGAAATTTGGAGTTCCTTTGGTGGGCCTGCAAGAACCGCCAACCGGATACCAACGCATGCTGGTGCCTGCAAGCATGACAGAAGATGAGCTGATGGCGTCGGCTAGATGGCGCAGAACCAGCATAATGCAAAGTGCGAGACAGCTATCCAAGAGCGAGGAGGATGCCTTGTTGGAGGCGACTTCCTCTGAGGTTGAGAAAGGCTTTTTGCAAGGTCCGTACTCCGAAGCTGAGATGTCGGTCATGATGGGAACCGAATGCTGGTCATTGAACCCGCGCTTCGTCCTGTTTCAAGGGGTGAATCAAAAGGTGAGGGTCATAGACGATGCAAAGCAGAGTGCAGTCAACTCAGCGTACTCGTCGACAGTGAAACTCCAATTGCAAGACGTGGATTACGCTGCGGCCATGGTACTGGGTGCTATGCGTGAAGCTGGACTTTCTGGCTCTGATGCATTGGAATGGCTCGGCAAAACTTTTGATCTCAGCAAAGCCTATAAGCAACTAGCTGTACTGCCTGATCATCAACTCCATGCCGTAGTTGGATTCCCGTGTGGGGGGAAGTGGCAGTTCTACAAAAGTGTCTCATTGCCTTTTGTTTGCACGGGTAGTGTTTACGGCTTCGTGCGTATATCGCAAGCCCTTTGGTTTTTGATTTCAAAACTGCTCAAAGCCATTACTTCTCACTACTTTGATCTTCCCGACAGTCGAGCGGTCAGACGGCTGCAGGGTCCTGACATTAGCCTTCAGCGCATTGCTCGACTTGCTTGGATGGGATCATGCAAAAGAAGGCGACAAAGCCCTCAACTTCTCGGCGACGTTTGACTTGCTTGGCGTAACATTTGACCTCAGTGGTATGAGCTTAGGTACCTTGGTGGTCAGAAACAAAACAAGTCGGATTGAAAAGTTGTGTGCGATGCTTGATCAGGTGGCGAAGGACAAAAACATTTCTGCAGCAAAGGCGAGTGAGCTTCAGAGGCTTCTAAATTTTGCAGTCAGCTTCTACTTGGGCCGGAGCATGAAACATCTGGTGTCAGCTTTTATGCCTTTCGCTGATAAACCCCAGAATTTCAATGCTTCTGATTTAGAAAGTCTTTGCCTGTACACCAAAACAATGCTTCTGGAGCAGAAGCCTCGTGTGCACTCTGTTCTGAATGTTGGCCGGCCCGTGGTCATTTTTACAGACGGAGCTTGGGAGGACGGCATTGCTACTGCAGGAGCTGTTTTGGTTGATGGTGACGTCCGACTGGCATTTCAACTTGAAGTACCACAAACTCTCGTGGAGCACTGGTTAACAAATGCTGGAGAGCAGATAATATCACAGGTTGAGCTATGGGGCCTTGTCATGCTCAAATGGTCGCGCCGTGATCACTTACTAAATCGCAGGGTCATCGAGTGGATTGACAACGAATCTGCGAGGATTTCTTCCATAAAGGCCAACAGCCATTCTCCTACCATGCGAGCACTGTCTAGGGTGTTAGCTGATCTTGATCTTCGATATCCAGCCTTCTCTTGGACAGAACGAGTTTGCTCGTACTCGAACCCGGCAGACTTACCTTCTCGCAACCGCTTGAAAGAAGCCATGAAGAAGTATTGCCTGGAGGATGGCGGTGTAGTCAAAGCTCCCGCTGACCTAGTGAACGCTCTGCTACAACTCCACAGATCTCCTTACATGCTGCTCACAATAACGGGGGAGAATCACTGAGCAACATGCGTGACAACTCACCGTTGTGAGATTCACACTACTAAACGGCATGACAGATCCAACCAACTGTCATATGCCATGCTTGGTGAACGAACGGAAACAGTAAACTCCCCAGACCAACTTAGAGCATGCTGAGAGGAGTAAAAAGGGATGTGCGGAGTGCTCACGTCAAGATCCAGCAGTTTGAGTTTTTCCAACCTTTTGATTTCCGAATTTTTCACGACGTTCCGTTGCGTATCGAGATTTTATTTGCGGCGCATATATATATATATACAATCACCCACATATATATATATATGTACGTCAGATGTTGTAAGTTTGGTTTTGTGTAAGTTGTCCTACAACTAGCGCAGCGTTTCCCCTTACACATTTGCCTGAGTTTGTTCTAATATAAGATTGCAATATTCCAATGCGAATTTGGTGCGGAGACACCGAAGCCAACGCGATTTGTTAGCGATTTGAAATTTTTCGAAGGAAACATTTTCCTTGGTGTTCCACAATTTGACAAGGCATGGAACTACAAAGGGCCCTTGCCCCCACAATGTCCTCATGGAGGAAGTCATCCCCAACTTATTGGCACCAACGAGCTGGGGCAATGGAAAACAGCTCCAGCTGCACACTACCCTGGGGCCCTGTGTTTATTTATTGCACGGGCTATCGCCAAGACTTGGGCAAGCTCATCCTCCGCTCCGAGGGGGTCAAATTCTACGGATGCGCAAGCGAGTGGTGTCAAAAAGGGGAGCAGTGCAGATCCGACCCCACAGGGGGACAAGGCAGTTTCAGAGTTTTCAAATTCACAAGCCAATACAGTTTCAGATACTTCATTTTCACAGGATGTCAGTTCAAGTTCACAAGCTCCTTCGGCTGTTTCAGCGGCTCCAAATTCCCACGTCGTTTCCGAACCTCCGTTTTCACCGTGTGTCAGTGCAGTTTCATATTTTTCACCTACCCCAATTTCTTTGGAAGAGGTCTCAATTGAATTGAATTCAGATTTGGAAAAACCAGTGAAAAACCAGGCGAGCCGACCAACTGATGATTTGAAAATTGAGTCTGGTTGCACTGGTCCACCGTTGGTTGCAAGATACGGTGGGAAAGCTCAACCGTTTTGCGACGGCATGGGTTTATGTTGCCCGGGGCGCTGGCACCCCAAAATGAGACACACGAGTCGCACAGCGAAGCAGCGTTCTTTTTGTAAGAGTTTGAGAGACCTGGTGGACGATTTCTGCAGGCGCAACTTGCCAGACATGGCAAGAGCCACCTTTGCGTTGGCCTTGGGAAGGATTGCAACATCCCCCTTCAGGAAAAAAGACATGGACAGTTTGCGTGAGAAGTGGTTTGCTTTGTTGCCTGACAGCGGCAAAGCTAGAAGAGTTCCTGAAGGTCAACCTTTTTGGCTGTTTGCTTTATCCCAGTCCCTTAGACTGATGGGTGATCCAGATGCGGATATCATCATCGACAATTCTCCTGGGTCAAGCTTCGCAGAAGGAGTCCGTTTGGGACATTTGGAACCCCTGGGACCCACTCCCCAGGTTTACAGGCCTAGAGAGAAAGAACCGTCGTACGACGAATCTGAATGGATGCCTGAAGTTGGAAACTATTTCAGGGGGGACGAAGCGGCAGCAGAGAAAATTTTGGAAGAGCAATTCCGAGAAGAGGAACAGGCAGGCAGAATGTCCACTCTGTCTGAGAAAGAAGCAGCCAGGCGCTACCCTGGCCGCGCCTTGAGAGTGGCAGCACAGGGCATTTTGGAAAAGCCCGACGGAGGGCACAGAATCATCCATGATGCAACACATGGAGTTAGACTGAACAATGAGATTGTTATCCAGGACCGTTTAGAGAACCCTGGTCCACGTGAGCTTGCTACAATAATGGAAGTTTCTCAAGATTCTGGGGAGCATGTGATTTTTGGTTTGAATGCAGATGTGGCCAAGGCTCACCGTCGGGTTTTGGTCAAGGAGTCTGACTGGGGGGTGCAGGCCTGTCGTACTGCCTCCAGGTCACCAGTAATTTGGTTGAACCGGACAGGAACATTTGGTGTTGCGTCAGCAGCTTTCTGGTGGTCTAGATTGATGGCGCTTCTGGGCCGCTTTGCTTACAACCTCACTGAGCAGGACTGGCTATTCGTGCTGGTCTTTGTTGACGACCTCCATTTAGCAGCAGGAGGGCAGAACCGGTGGTTGGCCATATGGAAATTTCTGGTAGCACTGGAGATGTCCCCTTTTCTTATCCGAAATTTAGAGGCGGTTTTCAGATGGATTATGTTGGTTATTGGATGGACTACTCTAGTTTTGAGCTGGGGCTTTCAGAGAAGAGGGCCAACTGGCTTATCAAGTTTGTGGAGGACCTACAGGCCGGCGGCTGGTTGACTGGTGTTAAACAATTTCAGGAATTTCACGGGAGACTTGGCTTTGCCAGTCAGGTCCTCCCTTGGATCAGACCCCTTTTGGGACCAGGATACGCCTGGCTGACCGCGGTGTCAAAGGGCACTACACTGAAGGTTCCAGAGCTCCTTGCTACCACATGTGTGTTTTCATCAGAGAGAAGTTCAAATCCGGTTTGAGGAAGTTGCCTTGCGGTAGCAGGGAAGAACATCTGGGCGAAGTGTTCCGCACGGACGCCAAATGCGCAGACGAGCGCGTGGTTCTGGGTGGCTGGAAATTGGGCCGATCCTCAGACCCTCGCGAGGCTGATTGGTTCGCTTTGGAATTGGGCCCGGAGGAGGTACCTTGGCTCTTCAGAGGTCGGAGCTCTTCATGGGCAAGCACGTCAGCAGAATTGCTTGCATCTGTGGTTGCGCTACAGATTTTTGACGTTGGATCAAGGTCATCCCGCAGGGCGGCACATGTCCTTCATTGCGGAGGAGGAACAGACAACAAAGCTGCGAAAGGACTCAGCACAAAGTTTCCTTTGATGATTGTTTTGATGGAATACCTTGCCATTTGTGAACGGAAACGCATGCGTGTACAACTTGAGTGGCGACCCAGAGAATCCAACGTCGAAGCTGACGATCTCACAAACCTGGAGTTTGGAAAATCTGACTTGAATAGGCGCATTGACGTCGCCTGGCATGATTTGGAATTTCCAATGATTGAGATGCTGATGAAATTTACTGAATCCTTTTCAAAAAGAAAACTCGAGGCAACGAGTCATTTGAATGTTGGCCCCGTGCAGAAATTCACGAAGACAAAATGGGGGTGAGTGACTGCCTCCGTTGAAATGGGGGCCGGATCTACGGCAGCACATGAGACAATTTGGTTCTGGAATTTTACTTCCAGCTTGGAACACGTTCGCAATTTCAGGTTTGGACTTTTACGTCCGGATTCATTTGCGTGGCACTCATCCACCATTGCGGTTTAAAAAGAAGAGGGGCCTGCGATTCGTCCGAGTGTTTTGCATTTGTCTTGTTTGCATGTTCGATGTTTTCGGCGTTTCTCATTTGCGTTTACGTTTATTTGCTTGGGTTCTGCGTTAATCTTTTGTTTCCGGCAAGGTTGTTTTGAAAAGGGCAAGACTAAGTTGGGAAGCGTAGTGGACCAACTGTATTGTCCTTTTTGGACAACCCAGGGAGTGGTGGGTGGGATCTTACTCCCTCTTTGGTTCCCGTTTGCTCCTTGGGTCTTCGTTTCTCCTTTCTTCGCGCCTACGCGTTCCCTCCTCGCTTCTCCGCGGGGTTTTGTCTTAGCTCTTGCGTTTACGCTTTTACGCGTACTCAGCTTCCTTATCTGACACCAAACAGCGCAAAACACAACTTTGAAACCCAATTATTTCCGGATCACTTTTCCAGTAAACTTAAAGTTTGCTTTGTACAGTTTGAATTTCGGATTGGGTTTGTGTTTCAGTTTGGGTCAGTTTGGTTGGAATTTTGTTCATCCTGTTTCATTTTTCACTTATGTTTCATGTAGCTGTGGGGCTGAGAAATTTTCAGTTACCCACCCTCTGCCTCCCTCTTAATTCTTTGTCGTCCTTTTTATAGGACCTTCTTGCCACGTTTCAGGGGCGGGGGGCCGGATCTACGGCAGCACATGAGACAATTTGGTTCTGGAATTTTACTTCCAGCTTGGAACACGTTCGCAATTTCAGGTTTGGATTTTTGCGTCCGGATTCATTTGCGTGGCACTCATCCACCATTGCGGTTTAAAAAGAAGAGGGGCCTGCGATTCGTCCGGGTGTTTTGCATTTGTCTTGTTTGCATGTTCGATGTTTTCGGCGTTTCTCATTTGCGTTTACGTTTATTTGCTTGGGTTCTGCGTTAGTCTTTTGTTTCCGGCAAGGTTGTTTTGAAAAGGGCAAGTTTTGGTGATGCTGGGCATGGATGCAACCAGCGCCAATGCATACAGCTCTCACTCATTGAAGCCAACATTCCTTGCATGGGTTGCTCTGGTTGGGGCATCATGAGACTGAAGAAGGCAAAATGGCTGTTACATACGCAAGGGATGCGCTGGTAGCTGCAATAATCAAACTCCGTTTGGTGGTTGAGGCAATCAGAAAGGGCATGTTTGATCCTGATCTGTCTCGAGCAGAGCGCATTGCACAGGCAACAGGGGCAACTTTTGACCCCAGAACAATTGCAGAGAAATCGCAAGTCGAGCTGGAGACAGAGATCCGACTGTCTGCAGAAGAGCTGCGCTGTGCAGCTGAGATGGCTGGGTCAGACGTGGATGATGCAGAAGCGGTTGGGGATGCGCCCATAGCGCTACCTGGTGAGCACCTGGCTCACGACCGTCACCCGTTTCCCGAGATTGCCCCTTCGTGCTGTGTCAAGCATAGGCTATCAGGAATCGTTCACATGATTGCCGAAGTGGACAAGTTGGCATGTGGCCGACGCATAACTTGCAACATGGTCCCTTTGGGCGACTCTTTTGGTGACCCTGGCCAAATGGAGTTCTGCGAACAATGCAGAGCTGTGAGTGGCTTATAATTGGACCCCACTGTCCAATGAAAAAGGGATGGAAGGGCAGGTGAAACAGTCTTGTCATTCTGTTGCAAAACTTTGAACGTTT